ACTTTTCAGCCTTTCAAAGATTTATGAAGTGAAAGATTACAGTTCATGTACTTTTCCTTTAGAGGAAAACATATAACAGATAAAATTTTTGTTAGAATTGCATGCCTAACGCTTGCAAAAATTAGTAATACTTGGAAGATTTCAATTAGGGTTAATTTAGAGTAGAGTAATAATCATACTAAAAGATTAGAATTAAAAATCTGCAATAATTCCTTAAATCTTTATGAAAATTTGTGAGCAAACCATCCTTAGATCATTTCAGGGTTATGCACTAGGACTTGCTCATAGTGAATGGACCTTGTTATTATTGTCACTTTATTTTTTTATAGATGACTGGTAGTGATGCTGTAACGGAACTTAAGACAGTCCGCAGTCGTGAAGAAGTTGTTGGTACCATGAGTGGGTTTCTTAAAGGGCGAGAAAGCACCAAACGTCAGGTTTTGTCACGTCTTAATCATCTTAGGAATACATTCGCTAAATCGCCATATTTCCAAAAGCATGAGGTAATACAGTAATCTTTGTGAGTAAAAGAGCATTCACATACGCACACATGCACACACGCACACGCACACGCTCACACGCACACACTCACACTCACACTCACAATCACACACTCATACATTTACATACATACATACACATACACATACACAAACACAATCATGCATGAATAGAAAAAATGAATAAACTTTTACAAATAAATGCATAATAACTTGAACCTCTATTCATGTTTTTACTTCTATGTATACTTCACAAATCAATTAGTTTATCTATTTACTTATTACCAATATGCATAGCAAGACACCAACTTGGAGCACAGTGTTAACTTGATTGTATCTGAACTTTCCAGGTGATTGGAAGCAGCATATTGATTATCTACGATGATGAAAAGGCAGGTGTGTGGATGATAGACTTTGCCAAAACGGTACCCGTTCCAGAGGGGGTCAGCATTACCCACAGAGAACCGTGGGTCCTAGGCAACCATGAGGAAGGCTTTCTGACCGGAGTAGATAACCTCATAAAGGTATGTGTGTCTGTGAAGGAGAAAAAATTTGTCCTATTTTCTTTTTCTTTTTTTCTTTTATATCTTTTTTAAGTGCAGTGAAAAGAGTAAGGATGCCTGATTTCAGTGTCGTTTCTTCTGGCTATATCTCTCTTTATTCATTTATTTATTTTTTTTACCATGCATTGTTACTAATTAAGACTTTTATTTGTTGCAGGTTGTGGAGGAAGTACCAACAGTGAAATCGAGGAGATTAGGGTTATTTAGCAAGTCATAATTATGATTATACTTTATGGAAATTAATGTTGTTATTTTACGGTCCCAAGAAGCTGAAATCGTCTTCAATAGAAGGGCCAGAAGTTACAAGACTTTCATTTTCATTGCAGAAAAAAATGTGATTATAGTTGAATGGTAATGCATCTGACTTGCTATGATTCAGAAATATTATTATAGCAGCAGTATCAAATTGTCATTGCAGATTATACATGTAGGTTCTAATGAAATAAGAGCCATGCCACATGGTTTAATTTGAAAGAAATCTTATACAAGGATGACACTAAATGTTTCAAAAAGATTTATTTATTGACAGTTTTTTATTGTTATCCATTGGTTAATGGGACCATGACTACTGCTCAATTATTTAATGGATTTAGATGTTATTAGTATGCCGACACGAGGACAAATGTTCAGATTTTCAGTGAGAGAATTCACAGCTTGTCCTTTAGTATAGTAGCATTTATTACTGCTTGAATTTTTTTCATATAGGTAATCATTTCTAATAGTGAACATAGACATGACATTTGCTCTTAAGTGTCATTGTACACTGTGTAAATTTGTGTATTTATGACAAAGTAATTTATTTTTTGTATACTATCTTAAGAGTTTCTCTGTGACGTGCTGCCTTCATTCTCTCTTTCTCAGTCACATTTCTGAACCTTTGGTTGTTGATATTTGTAATTCATAATCGAGTCTTCTAAATTCTAACTTGTATTCTGAGAGCAAGAAGATAAAATAATCAGCTTGCCTTGCTCTTCTCTCTTTCTTTCATATTGAAATTCCTAGAATATGTATGAGGTGTAATTGTATTTCAAAGTAGTTAATACTGCCAACTGATCTGTGCCTGTCTGAATTTCTAGTGATAACTGTGATGACACTATAAAGCTCACTAGATATTTGGTGTTTGCAAAGTGATAGAAAGTTATCCATCGGTTTAGTTGACGATGTTCTCTGCTTTTAGATTTTTTTTTTTTTCAATAAGCAATATTTTTTTTCTGCTTCCAGATTTTTAGTGTACTAGGTTTTTGAGAAAAGTTCTTTTGAACCCCATGCAACCCATCTGTTTTGTAGCGGTTATCATTTCTAAGAGTACTTTTGTGTTCAGCAGAGGATATGTGTTCATTATCAAACAGAAGATTTGCTAATCAAATTCACCAATATTTATAAAATATTCATTGCAGAGAAAAAAAAAATGTTTTGTTTCTACTGTTTTATAACTAT